ATAAAACAACGGGTCTTCTAAATCTGCACAAATCCAACCTCTTCAACTTCAACAACTTGTACCGGCGGCGTATGATAGTATTGTAAAGACCCGCAATATTCACAGCAGACTACACTTTCCACTGCGAGAGTCTAATTTCTAGGGCTACAATTTTGGTTGAAGTTGTTGAACTATCTCGTTGTCTTCTTCATCATTCCCATCAGTGACACATGATCTACCGAGGTCAGATCGTCGCCTTGAAACAGAGCCGGTGGCTCTAAGTTGTCGATAGGCCCCATCCAACATAATAACATCCGACACTCGACGGCCGGGGTAGCGTGCTATGTTTTCATGGGGCCGTGGGGACACTATCCGTAAGAAATCAAAATATCAATATGTTCCTGGGATATGGTATTTCATAGTGAAATCTATTAGAAATGATGGCTACCGCAACGCCTTAAAGTATCTAGGTCGACGTAACCAGTAACCCTGTATTAACAAACCTTATGGTCTAATGATTGATGATCCTAACTAGCAGTCAGAACCAGAGATCACGGATTCGATTCCCTCCCATTACAAAGAATTGTTTGATGACCACGACACTTATTATGTCTGGGTGTAATATAAATTTGAATTGAAAGCTTGAGAATTATAACTGACCAAATATACCCACGTGTATATATTATTATAAAAGGGGTAAGTGTAGTCGTTACGGACTACCCAAGTCCGCCCCTCGTGCTCTAATAGTACTTTGCGCATGGAATTTTGATGATCACTATTTTGCATGGTCATTGCCGTTTTCACAATTTCAGTGTTATCCGTATGCGTGTTAGACTAACATGGCGTATGCTTGTTTTGCAAACATAATTAACTAATTTATTAAAAGTAGAATATTTTTCGATGGTATTAAACATATAGGTAGTTTCATTTAATACAATAAATTTGAATTGAATGGTGAAATAGAATATAAATAGATTTATTTAATTGCAGTAAAGTTTTTTGTCTTAACAAGCAAAAATGTGATGGAGCGGTATTGAATAAGATGTTTGAAATATTTATAATAAAAATTCCACCACATTCAGCTAGATAAAAAGAAAAATTACAAGTAATACTTCGTTGTACTATATGTTCTTAAAATCAACGATAACGAGGCAATAATTTAAAATATGTATTGTTTTAGTAAACACAAATTTACTTTTTTTTAATTCAAACTCAAACTCAAATTAATCATCCTAATTGTCGGTAAAAAAGAAGAACGACCCATGTGTATTTCACTATGTATTTATGTACATATATCTGTCAGACTGTTTATGTTCATCTCTTCAATTACTGTACGGTTGACTGGGAGAAAATGCCTGTGGCATTAAGTCCGCCATTTTACAAGTGAGTTGAAATTGTAATTAAATAAATAAAAAACAGATAAAAGAAACTTAGTCTTATTATTGCTTAAACTTAAAAGTAAATTTCAAAGAAATTAAACCATCTTCTACCTTAAAACTTTAAAAATACCCTCTACCTTAAAAATACCCTTTTCCTTTAAAATACCCTCGTTTATGACATCTGTCGAGGCTTGATAACAGAGCTGCAAGTGATCGGCATAAAGATGATACGCATATTGAAGATTCGGAGTGATGAGACTGATAAATATTGAGAATAATAAAGGAACGAAATTTCCACCTTGAAGGACACCACAGTCAAGTTCATGCCACTTGTCGTCCCTGGATATATGACGAGAACCATTCCAGTGTATCAAGTGTAATCATAAGATAGGAAGGAATGGATAGAAGGATATCGTGATTGACGGTGTTGAACGCGTTTGAGAAATCAACCAAAACTAACACAGTAGCTTTGGATTTCTCAGTACCCACTCGAATATCACGTTTTACTTTAAGCAGAGTATGGTTTTATGGCGGGGCCTGAACCCCGATTGTTTCGGTAAATATGTTTTGATAGTTGTTGGTTCACACAGGCCTCGAGGACTTTTGATAATAAGGGAAGAATGGAGATTGGTCATACGTGATTCAGGAGTGTAAGATTCGGAATCTTGGGGAGGGGAACGACAAACGCTTTCCGCCACAATGAAGGATATCTGAGTCAAGAGAAAAAAATATTATATACGTAAGCACAGGAAAAATGTGATCGAGGATGGGAATGATCATGCGACTGTTAATGTTATCACATCCCATTGCATTAGATTTAATTAAGAAAATTATCTTTTTGAGCACACCTGGTTCTACTAGAGTAAACTGAAAAGCTTCAATATTGGGACATTTGACATTTGATTTGATGATCAAACAGTGATGATGAAAAGAAATGACGGTTAATATCATCTAAATCAATGGCAGGGGGAAGGTTACGTTTTACCTGGGTCGTACGTTACGTTTTGATACCTAGGGTCCCAAGGAACCTCCAGATGCTTGTAGCAGATGCACAATTCAGGTTTTTGAGAATATGGCAGCGTTTATCGTTACGCACCATCATAATCATCATCAGCCTATGGCAGTCTGCTGGACATAGGTATCTACCATTGCACACTCAGGTTACACCGATTTCTCGCCACTCTATAAATGGCCCAGTTTTCATCGCAGCGGTTTCTCTGAAATTTACGAAATAATTTATGCTTAATAAATTACTTTTTCATGTTCTCGATAAAAGTTGGTTAATAAAAGTTTTGCCAGGCTATTTTTAACTTTTATCAGAACATGTAACATTAGATATAATAATAAAATATTTACTTAAAGTCCGTCTCTGTACTATTACCTAAAGTTATGCGCAGAATGTGGACGTACATTTGATATTTTACGGCACTCGTTTCAAGACACATTTTAACACTTTGCCAAATTATTGCATTTTATAATTAAATGTAGTTATTTTATATAAAGATTCATTTTCTACTCTAGAGGAGATCAAAAGATTCTGTTTTCCTAAATGAAATGAACCTGCTAGTTTCCATATGTTATGATAATGAATGCAAGTACCGTTAAGCAGAATAAAGTGTTTGCTAAATTTTACAACAAAATATGAGTAGCTTTCGTATTTTTTTTTATATCATTACACCCGTTGGTTTTCAACCATGCTACTAATTATATATTTTTTACTTTTGCTTTCCTAAGTGCTTACCAATTCCTATTTTTGTATGTGTTTTAACCAAATATAAGGATTGAGAAACAATTAAGAGTGTTTAAGAAAAACTTTATCTCAATGTCATATTAATAAATATCTTGCTATTATTTTTACCGATTTACATTTATCATACTTTTTTATTTATAGAAAATTATAAGAAATAAAAATTTAAAATTTCCATTTATAAATATCTCTATTAACTGATAACAAGTGAAGTATCGCCAGAAGCCAGTCAGTGGCAGTCCTTTATTTATTTTCTGAAAATAATTTAGCTCGGTTGGCAAATTTGTGAAATTCTCTCAAAGAGCATTACGTTTCCGCATTGTCGGGGAACAAGCAGAATGGCGGTAACATTCGGCCAGACTAATTACATTAAAATCACCAACAGCGCCGTACTAAATCACTGTACCTATTATGTACTCGCCGAGGTCTCATCCGCGCTGCCGTCCGTACGCCCGCCACGGACAAATGTATAAATATTCTAAATATACAGAAATTCCCTCTACCAAAACATAAACGTAACAACCGCAAGTAATCCATTGAAATTAAATCCTTATAGAATTACAAATAAAGTTGAAATTTATAACAATGACGTTGGACAATAAAGCGTTATATATTTGACAAGGGCAGTCCTTACAATCCTTTCTGTTAAACTATTCTCTTTGAATAATTGCCGCATGGACCTGAAGGGTTAGAGCGTATTCATGCTCAGACCCACCATTGTGGTTAGGGCCCACGGTACCTAAATGTTCGTCCATGAGAGCGTCTGTGTGTGTCCCCGTCTGCACTGGACAATGTGCATACATGCTCAGCGACGGGTGAATGTCTACTGGAATGATTAATTGGGTATTACGGTTAGGAGTATCGATAAAATTCATGTTTATGTACTTTTAGTGGTATGAATGTATGTATTGTTGTGATTTGACCTTTAACTTTAAATATAAATAAAATAATTTGGTATCTTTTTGATATAAAACAACAATAATCTTCAAATTTTACTCTTAAATCACATTTTGTAACTGTAATTAGAAAAGGCTTTTTTGTTTGTTATTGTTTTATTAAGAATTATATAAATATATTTGGTGTGTGTATGTATGTATTTTTCTGTGAGATGGTCTGTATCCAAAGCGGCTTGATGGATTTTTGCGTAAACAGCAGGCAGGAGTTTTTAAACTGCTAACAGGTATATCCTGGCCCAATGGAAACAATCGTATACCGTATGATTTTAGTATGGTCATTACACTATGAATAATGACATAGGCCTCTCCCATTGCACGCCACTTAGATCGATTTTGAGAAGCTCAAAATCGATCTAAGTGGCGTGCAATGGGAGAGGCCTATGTCCAGCAGTGCACTGCGATAGGCTAATGATGATTACACTATGAAGGTGGTGGTGGTGACTCGTGAGAATTTTGAATGAGATTAGTTTCTGTGTGATATTAATATTTCAAATCTCTATAGCATAATGAGAGGGGACGTATGTATGTATGCTTTGATGGTACGAAAAAGACTCAGGTATTAGGTACATTACAATCTTTTTCCTTGTGGAGATAGCAATGCATGACGATTTCCAGAGTTTCACAGAAATGATAACAGAATTGTAGCAAACATAGCTTTACTTACGTCGTGTAGTATAAGAATAGTCGTATATTTAAATATATGTCACAACCAGGAAGTCACGTCCGAAAACTACCATTTAAACGAGACTTGAACCATAATTGTAACGAATGTACCCAAGTTTGTTTTGGCTACGGACCATCTGCCCCCAGGGGGCTCTGGCAAGTAATCAACTATCTTAGATATGGCAGATTAATTTATACAGATTGTGAGATTGCATGTATGTGTGTGATTGAATTATTTTCAATATTTTTATGTGAATTGAAAAGTATAGAACAAAAATGAAATCAGAACAATTCACACTACAGAACATGTCAGGAATTCGCACTATAGACCCATATTTTTATACTTATGAATACTATGGTCAGAGTTCCGAAATAAAGGAAGAGGGGAAGAACTCAGCTCGGTAAGCTTCGAATAACTGAAGTTGATCCAACTCTAGCTCTAGCTATTGACCCTGAACGGTAAGAGTGATCAGAATTTACTCAAAAAGAAAGAAGAAAGGATATTATTTATTCTATAAACAACATCATACAAAAATATAAGTTAAATAATAACATACACAGGAAATAAACCCAATTAAAGTTTAATAAACACATTAACAAGGTAAGATTTTCAATGTGTCATTCTATCATTCCCCTGACAGAATTGACATGACACGTCAATATGCCACGTATCCTACCATGCGTCTGTAAAATGTTACATATGTAAAACAAAAAAAAAACTAATGTTCTTGAGGGTTGTACGCCGTGTTTCAGAAAATAAGTGGACCCTCAGTATACAATGCGGTGGATAAATACCACCTCAGTAGATACTAATTCTCAGAGCCCACCTTAGTTGTCGCCCTGAAGCCGACAGCCGCAATTGCCATTTGATAATAAAATATACAAGTGTACACTCTTCCTACTTGTGGATCAAATTCAGCAGGGTAAGTAATAATTGAGATACGTACTACTCCGTACTACATATTTAATAATTATGATTTAATTAGGTACTGTCGAATACATGTACATATAATTATTGTACCTAATAACCTTCGCTTGCAGATCCTTTACATATATTTACAAATATGAGAAAATAAATGTATATGTGATGAAAAGAAAGAAATATAGTCAATCGACAATGAAGTGCAAGAACCCGGCGATGAAAAGAAAATACACAATCAAAGTTTTACCAAACTTAAGTACTAAGTAACTGAATCTCTTAATTTTTCCAAGACCGGAATAAAAATATAATATTATCATTTATACCGTTCATCTCAATTACATCCATTTATATCACCCTTCTAACATTGCCATGTTAACACTTTGACCCGACACTAAACTTTTATGAATAGGATATTCATGAGACACATCCCGAACCGGTCCAGATAAATGCAGGTTAGCTCTCAATTGCTTTGGTCACGTCAGGTCAAACGTTACCAAGGGATGCTGTTATCATCTGTGGTCAATAGATAAAAGGTCAAATAGGATTAAACGCTTTTCTTTTGTCAATGTATCTCAATAAAGAATGAATGTCACTGGTGTAGATGGGTAGTAAAACATTATGATATTTATTAGACTTTTTCATTCAACCCATTGAAAATAAAGTTTTCATGGATTAGTGGTTAAAAAATGGACGAAAGATTGCGGGGGAAGACAAATCATATCTCATGTAAAAGTCAAATATTAAACTTACACTGCAGATGTCTGCTAGATTTGGGGATGTTCGGGTGTGCAATGTCCTCTATACAAAGCGTAAAATGTAAATCTGGAGCTCTTCTCAAGGAAGAGAGTGAGAAAATTGAAAGGAAATTGGGAGTGCTTAGATACTAGTGACCATTTTTTAATTACCTACGTGAATGTTAGAAACCATAATTTATAACATTAGATAATTATTTTAAATTATATTCTAAATGTATTTTTTAAAGTAAGATGAAACTGGAAATATTGATGGTAGTACTACCAAATGTCCTAAAAATTATAATAGTAAAATAGGTTAGCAATTCACTTAAATGTATAAATAAACCCTTACTGACTGCATCCATATGTGCGCAAACAGAATTTTAGTCGAAATCAATTAATATTTTGAAAATGAATTAAATCTGTTTCAACATCCATACAATTTGGGATCTATCCATTACCACTTTTATCTTTGCTGCATCTTTGGTATATTACTAAAAACTATCAATGTATACATAATGTGTCTTCCTCATCTTCTGGATATTGAGGCTCGGGCCGTTAATATCCCAGTCACTAATTGCAAAAAGAAAACAAGTCTAACAGGTTATAAGTACGGGATAAAAATGTCTGGGTATTTTTCACCGGATAATGGCGGCGTAGACCGTTTGAGGGCCAGGGAGGGAATGCATCGATAATTCTTTGAGTACATTTTGGAATCAGTTTCCTAAATCTAGGAAGTTTTAAAGACTTACTGAAATTTATACTTGACATTATAGCAAATTAAATGTAAATTTATAAAAGTTTTAGTTTAACGGTCGAGGAACCGGTACATGTCCTATCTCAAAATAATTTCATTCATAAGACATACATTCATATCTGTTCTAAAACAGTAAATTATAAAAAAGGTTTCATTTCTTTTATTCGAAATACTTTTAAATTATGTATCAAAATGTATTTCGTTATTCAGTCAGGGCTGAAAATACTTAAAATCAGAATAAGGCTTAGAATATTAAGTTTAATACTTAACTGTAGGTAGGTATGTATATCTCATCTCAAATTCCATAACACGTGAAATCACCTCAAAAACTTGATCGCAAATCAATAGAAACAAAACTAGAACTAAAGACCGCTAACCAAACCGAACACTTGTACCAACTTTGCAACTCCAACATTTCATTCCCAAGTTCGGCCCTGCGCATTGGCCGAACGAACCCTTTGGTTCCCCCTCCCTCTACGCTCGCAACCCGCTCACCGCCTGCCACCCCCCCTAGTTTCCGAATTAATTGCAATCAAAAGGAAGGACACGAGTGTAGTCCACCCCTAACTTGGTGTGCCATGTTGAAAATTTGCCCGACGATTGCGTCTGTGTGCGAAAATACTTACATGAGTGTGCTATCAGTTGCGTATTCATATTCTGGCATATGTGTGCGTGATTTGCACGCAATGGCGTACGGACAGCCGTTTGTATCTGAATAATGACCTAAGCACAAGTTAGTAGACAAACAAAAGTAATTGCAAAAAGGAAATTAATAAAATTTATACGATCTTAACGACTTTTCGAAACTAAATTTGTCTTAACTTATTCGACAATATTATTAGACAATAGATCACAGATCATTTTTGAAAAAGGTTTGTAATAAATAAAAAAAATATTAGGTTTGTCTGAAGAAAAAAGGCATTATTTGTTTTTTTTTTTATTTATAATAAATTAAACTTGTAATTTTTAAGTAATGTTAAAATAAGTCCGTCATTTTTCTTTTCTTGAAAAGTGCACAGGACTCCACCAGGAGTGCCAATTATCCAAGTGACGGAAATGAAATTGTTGCTATGTGGAACGATAGCGGAAAGTTCCGGCCGATATTAGTTCGAACAATTCCTCGGAGCACTCTCTATTATATTATATACGATAGAGAATGCAGAGTCAAGATACATCTACAGCTGGTCGGAGATCTTTTGGCTATCGACGAATCGAGTCGCTCTTCGTTGGATGCGGTCCAGAGGGAGAAGCTGATACTGGGGTGCCCCTGCATACAGATGAGAACAGTATTCCATATGCAACCAGACTTGCGACTTGAGTTGGAGTTGGCTGGAGTGAAATTTGACCTTACCCTCTAAGTGACCTCAAAACTGGACTGGGCGGATCGCTCGATGTGGCGATGCCTAGGATACCGATACTGGCTGAGGCAATTAAGGAGGTGCTCTCGAACCGAGGTAATACGGCAAACGGTTTTTTATTAGCAGTGATTGCGCAAAACCTGTTGGTTTTAACTCTCCCTGACGTTTTCCTTGCGGGAAAGGAAAAAAAAAGGGATACCTTGATTTACAGATTTCAAGTCGGAGCATGCGCCGTCGATAACGACTTATGTCTGCAATAAAACTGGTAACCCAGTTAAATAATTTTTCAGGAAGCCCGAGGCTTTCGCTATGTCCAAGCTAGCCACACAAGTCGTTCGCCTGTGCCCATTGGTATGTTAGATAAAAGAGAAAATCATCAGCTGAGCGACCCCGGCGAAAACCATATTGTCGGTCAATGTGTAGCTGGCGAGTTTCTTCCAGGAGTTGTGAACGACGCCTGGGAAGAAGGAGAGTCGAAACAGGAGCGTTAAAACCGTTGTCGACTCTGGAGCACACGTCTTCAGCTTAGGAGGCTAATAAACCTCTAGTTTTGCAGTTTTTGAAGTAAATTAGTTTGATCTGAGACATTCTCTATCCTACCTTTCTCTTGTATTTGCCTACTAAAACATTTTTATTACTATTATTTTTGATAGTGCTTGCAATTGAACTACACCTTATTTTACGCTGTCATTAAACAACTTTCGATATTATTATTATTTTCAATATGTGATGCAGGGGGGAGTTTTCTGTGTACACCCCTTCCCCGCACCACACCATGAAAAAAAATACCTGATGGAAAGCGGCCCATGGTATGTTGCGGTTTATGACTCCAGTCAAGGTTTAGGCTATTAGTTGTTGAAATTACAGGACCTACAATATGTATTTTTACTATATAGATACCAGATACATTTTAGATATCTATTGATATAAGGCTAGCTGAAAACCATTAGTGAATATTGTGAAAGCATATACACTTCTCATATAGGATTCTGCGAAACTACATTAATATTTCAGAGTCGGGCCAAGTTTGCGGTCCTTTCTAAACAGCCCTTGGTCTTCCAAAGTTATTCCAACTTTGTTGCAAACTTCGGGAAGCTTTTGGTGGGGTGTGTAAAGATTACAGTGGGGAGGTGCCTTATCTTAGTTTCGTGTTAGTTTGATAATGAAAGTTGTTGTGCTTAAAAATTTGCCCTTCACTAATGTTGTTTTATGGAACTGTATAGGCAAAGAAGCACAATTATGGTTTGATTGTGAGTGGTTAACAACGCTTCTAGGCGTTACATTTATTTCTACTTGTGTAATCGGTGAATAACTAAAGAGGTTTGTTATGTGCCATACCTACTTACGACCGTTTACCTGATTAATACTTGTGTGTAACATTGATATTAACAGAAAACGTCGAAATTAAAAATGTAGGAATATAATACTGTACGACCTGGCCAAAGTGACACAGAAAAACTAAATTTATATCTTGTTACTACATAATTCAATTTTGAATTGTTAACATCATATTTTACATCTTTGCTTAACCCGTAAAGGGCAAAATTACTAATTAATAACTAGGTTGGTTAAAAGTATTTTCAGACATAGGACCTCCTTAATTCAGCTGGATTTTTTTCGTTTGTTACCCCAGAACTCCGTCACTTAAGAATCAATTTGAAATACAAAAAAATATTAAATGATATACTTACCTAATGTTTGGTCCCATTAAAATTTGAAGAAAAAATTTCACCCTTAAGCGCTAAAATTAGGGAACGAAGATGATGTAGACGCAATGAAGTCGGTGCAACTTTTTCAAAAGTTACATATCCTAAAAATAAGTTGCAGTTTTTAAGGCAAGCAATTTAAGGTTGTGCCTAGTATTGAAATTAGGCTAGTGCCAAACACAGAGCAAAAATAACCTAAGCGTTTGTACCTATGAAACCCACTTTTGAACATCCTAATGGAGAAAGAGAACGCGTTGCTTATTATACAGAGTTACTGGTTAAGTCGACCTATATACTTTCAAGTAAGATTTTTTTAATATTCATGATCATCATCATCAACAGCCTTTATAGTCCACTGCTGGACATAGGCCTCTCCTTAGAAAGGAGGCTTTGGCCTACTAATTTTTTTTAATATTGCCCATAAAAAATATATTTTTACATTTTCATTCATTTTTCTATTTTAAACCATCTACTTTGGCCCAGTTTATTAAGGTAACTACAATGTTGGTAATAGAAATTATAAAACCAACAACGACACAATAACAGTAAAAGAATGAGCAGGTATATAAATTATTAAAAGAATTGTATAAGGCAAAATTTCATTTCATTTCTTGTACTCGCTTATCAGACATGAGTACAATATTTAAATCATATTTTTGTTATCCGCACCTTTCAAACAATGTTAAAAACAGTGACCTGCCAAAAACTCCACTTGAAGGTAATACTTATATTAAACAGACGTTAAAATCCTATCAATTGAAAGTAATAACAACGTTCTCTCTGTAATATAACAAACACTTATAACAACACAAGTCAGAAGCAATAAATCTATGTATGTATCAATACATAAACAAAACTATATTGTTATCTAAAGCAATAACAGAACATATTGTTAGTCTGATGTTATCTTTCTACTCGTTGAACATTGCAAAATGGTGATACCACTCGAGGAGCCACTAGCTTTGGGAGTAGGGTGTTTACTTGTAGCTAAATTAGTAGGACACTTAAAAAAAATGTATTATCCTTGGATTCTTCCCGTCTGCCATTTATGTATCGTAAACAATTAAATAAAGGTTACAATTTAAATGTAGGTTAATGGTATATTTGTTTAATGTACTATAGTGTACAGGGACGTGGGAGAGCAATGCTTCGTCACAAGTGGGCTTTCTCGACCGGAGTCATACCACGGCCTCACAGAACACCGGTGTTAAGCAATTCTTTCCTTGCTTTTCACCGAGTGGGTTAAGCGACCGGAGCCCCAAAAAATAATAAAAGTTCTTTACTTTATTCCTTTCATGTGTATTATTTAGACAAGCACTGCAATCCAAAAGT